AGTTCAAAGCCCTTTTCCAACTACTGGCATTTCCTCAGCCCACCTGTGCGGCATGTGGGGTCGGCAGCATTGCCTTTTCTAGGAGACCCAGGTCAGAAGTCCGTGGGGAGCTCTCACCGAGGCTGCCGGCTGCCGGCTGCCGGGACATTCGGCTGAATGGCCTGTTTCAGGGACGGTGGGGTGGGGGGACTTGACACCGGCAGTTACTGAAGACCTAGGGCGACTCTGGGAAGGCCACTGTGACTTAGAAGCCTCCAGTCCGTCCCAAGGGAGAGCTGCTGTCTGGACCCGCGCCTCCTTTTTGTTGTTTAGCTGTTTTCACCGGCCTCACTCATACCAAAGGGAAGGAATCTTCATTAAAGTCCGTATTTCTTCTACCTCGGCCTCAGTCACTGTCGCTACCTGTAGTTCGCCGGGGCCCCTCGGTGGCGGAGAGTCGGGGCGGCGAGACCCGTCTGGCCTCGCTGGATGCAACCACGGTAAAACAAAGACTTACATTTTTGATATTTATTTTATATATTTAAATGCCATTTAACAAAGAAAAATCAACCAAAAAAATGAGTTCGCTTGTCACCTCTGACACGCGTGTCATAGGTTCACCATCACTGATCTAAACTATATTACCTAAAGACTGTCAGGCGACTCCATTGTAAAATAATTAAATAAACTGTGTGAGAAATAGGAAATGACTGATTTGTTTTCTGAAATTTAAGAAAGAGTTAAGTGGGAAATTTCATTCAACTACTATTGTATTAGTTATTTTAAGGTGGTATTTTCATTAGTGTGCTGTTTTATTATGGGGGGCATAATAAACTTAATACCTAGTCAGAACTGGAGGAGGGCCGGGGGCTGGAGAAGCCCGGGACGTGGGGCCTCGGAGAAAGGCTGGGCGGGTGGGGAGACGGGGGTCCTCAGGCCGAGGGGCCTGAGAAGATGGGGGGTGAAGCCCTCCAGGGGTCGGGGCAGGTGTCAGATCGAGGGCCCTAGGATTTGGAATTCCGGAGCCGCTTGGAAATCGGAGGCTTTCGAGAGAGAGGACGTCTCATGTGAAGGAAGAAGCAGCCGAGAGTGGGAACACGACTTACTGTTCATGTTACACCTTTGTTAGTGTTTACTTGTTGGGTGATAAGCAAGCGCATGTGAAGTTGGGGAGTTCCTCCGACCACGGCTGGGAGGAGGGGGGTCGGGAGCCCCAGGGAAACAAACCTGTTTGTGTTTGCCTTGTGCTGCTCGTCCAGGTTTGCAAATGAAGAGCCCAGAAAAGAAGCGGAGGAAGTCAAATACTCAGGTGCGTGGTGGTTGGTGGGCGGGAGGCTCCCGGCGGCCCCGCCCTGCACGCTGTCACTCCAGCGTCTGTGTCCTGGTCGGTCCGGGGAGAAGAGAAAGTGCCCTGCCTCGCTCTGTGTCTGGTCCTTTCCTTCAGCTTCATAACAAATTTGTCAGGGGCGGAGGATGAGATGATTTGCCCGAAGATCCCATCAGCTAGGATCAGACTCCTCCCATTTTTCCTGTCCTGGTGCCCTCACGGTCACACCGACCACTTACCCTCTGGGCGCCAGGGCTGTGCTGGAGTGAGTGCTCCAGCAGTGTGAGTGTGGGGAGGTGGGAAGCTGTACAGATGAGGCGTGTGAGGCTTAAGAAAGTTAAATACTTGCTCCAGGGTCTCGAGGTTCTTCAGGGTCAGGGCTGGGATTCCAGCCTCGTTCTGCCTGTTTTCAGAATGCAGTTAGCACAGTGCTGCGCCTTCTGCGTCTCTGTTGCGTTCTAAGGTCCGTCTTGATTTTTAGAGCTGGGCTGGCTAGAGCCAGCCTCCAAAATGTGGAGTGTGTTTCTGGTGTTCCGGTTTAGCTCTGCGCTTCCCTCCATGACCCCCTTTCCCTCTGTTCCATCAGGGCCCTGCATACTCACATCTGACGGAGTTTGCGCCACCCCCGACTCCTATGGTGGATCACTTGGTTGCATCCAACCCCTTTGAGGATGACTTCGGAGCCCCTAAGGTGGGGGCCGCAGCCCCTCCATTCCTTGGCAGTCCTGTCCCCTTTGGAGGCTTCCGTGTGCAAGGGGGCATGGCAGGCCAAGTACCCCCAGGCTATGGCACCGGAGGTGGAGGGGGTCCACAGCCTCTTCGTCGACAGCACCCCCCTTTCCCTCCCAACCCTATGGGCCCTGCTTTCAACATGCCCCCCCAGGCCCCTGGCTACCCACCCCCAGGCAACATGAACTTTTCCAGCCAACCCTTCAACCAGCCTCTGGGTCAAAACTTTAGCCCTCCTGGTGGGCAGATGATGCCAGGCCCAGTGGGGGGGTTTGGCCCCATGATCTCGCCCACCATGGGACAGCCTTCCCGAGGGGAGCTGGGCCCTCCTCTCCCCCAACGCTTTGCCCAGCCAGGGGCGCCGTTTGGCCCCTCTCCTCTTCAGAGACCTGGTCAGGGGCTCCCCAGCCTGCCCCCCAACACAAGTCCCTTCCCTGGTCCGGACCCTGGCTTTCCTGGCCCTGGTGTGGAGGATGGGGGGAAGCCCCTGAATCCACCTGCGCCCACTGCTTTTCCCCAGGAGCCCCACACGGGCTCCCCAGCTGCTGCTGTTAATGGGAGTCAGCCCAGCTTCCCCCCAAACAGCAGTGGGCGGGGTGGGGGCACTCCAGATGCCAACAGCCTGGCACCCCCTGGCAAGGCAGGTGGGGGCTCAGGGCCCCAGCCTCCTCCGGGCCTGGTGTATCCGTGTGGTGCGTGTCGGAGTGAGGTGAATGATGACCAGGATGCCATTCTGTGCGAGGCCTCCTGCCAGAAGTGGTTCCACCGGGAGTGCACGGGCATGACCGAGAGCGCCTATGGACTGCTGACCACCGAGGCCTCTGCCGTCTGGGCCTGTGATCTCTGCCTCAAGACCAAGGAGATCCAATCTGTTTACATCCGCGAGGGCATGGGACAGCTGGTGGCTGCCAACGATGGGTGATGCTGGTGCGGAGACCCAGGGAAGTGCGTACGTTCCTCCCTGCTCTCCCAGGGTGGCTGTTCCCGTGTCTGGCTCTTGGTCCTTGTTTCCACTGGCTTCCATCCCCCGGAGCAGAAGTGTGGTGTCTCCTGAGGGCAGAAGAGGAACTGAGGTTGGACAGGCAGGAGCCTGGATCGCTCACAGTTCTGGGAACTTTCACGCTGAGATCTACAGAGATCCAGGAAACCAAAGCCTGCCCAGCAGAGCCATTGTCTGGTGGATGTTTCTGGAGGCCGAGGGGTATGGCTGCAAGAGAAAAGAGGCTGGAGGAAGATCTGGAAGGCAGGGGCATCCCTCTAGATGACGGGTGCCCCCAGCACCTGTGCCTCACACGCCTATCTAGTCCCGCAGCTGCAGCCTTAGTTTTTGGAGTCACGTGTTAAAGGTTTCTCGCCAGAGGGGTTTGGGTTCTTCCCATCCCTGCAGTAGCCCTTCCCTGGGCTCTGGGAGAGAGCTTTGGGGAGTAAAAAGGGATTTTCCTCTCTTCCTGCTCTCTCCTGCCTCCTCTAAAACCTGCTTAACTCTTCCCCCTTCAAAGAACCAAATAGCTTGAAGAAACAGGAGAGTTCTTGGCCACGGCAGTTTCTTGGTGGTTTGGGGCTTCGAGACAGTAGGTAAGAGATGCTGTCGGGACAGATCTCCCTGGTACCAAAGTTACTGGTCCTTTCTCAGCTTCTCTTGTGCTTTTCTCCTCATGACCATGTTCTTTTGCCAAAAATTGGGATATGTGGTCTGACCAGAATATTTGAAGTTTGGACAGCCCTGGAAGCCTGGACCCTGTTGTACCGCCTTCCCCCGCCCTGCCCATCCGTTGCACATATTCGCGTTCGTCTTCAACTTCTGGTGCCCTTATTCCCCGCCTCCCTGGCTTGATTGAAGGAAAGCTTGAAAGGGCACCGAGCCCTTATACCTCATTTCTTCTGATAAAAGGATCCCCGTCACAGCCTGTGGTTGGGGGGAGGCAGCAGGACCCTCGTTGCCGAGGTCCTGAAGTGCCGTTCAGAGCCTGGGTATTGCTTCTCTTTCCCCTGCTATTGGTTCCATCTTCTCGGGCCTGGCGTTCTAGCAGTTGTCATTCCTCTCGGCCGTAGTTTTGGGCTTTATTTGTTTTTATTTTTAAAGCACTGCCTGCCAGCGGTGGACCTGGGGCCTGCACACATGACCAGGGTGTGGGGAAGGTGGGCCTGAGGAGTTGGTGGCTGCCTGGACCCCAGCATGTGCAGAGGAGACAGGTTTGCTGCAGAACTCACTGCCTGCCCAGGTGGAGCCAGCGGCCTCTGTGCCCTCCTCTCAGTGTCCCCTGACTCTAAAGCCGCAGAGAGCAGTCCCCCCCCCCAACTTTGTGTTGTGTTTGTGGTTCTGTTTGCCCCTCTTTTATCTGTTGCTATTTTTGTGCTGCCTCCCCCCATCTCAGCATTTTGTAAAGTGGCTCCTGGGGAAATATCTGCTTAGTCCCTCATTCCATTGTTTGGAAGAAAGTAGGGGGTGCAGAAATGTGATGGGGGGAGGGGTCTTTTGTACGGTTGGATTAATAAAACGACGTGAAAATCCAGACAAGGACTCCTTGCTGTTTATGTGCACAAAGGTTGGGATGAGCTGTGGTCACCACTGGGAAGGGTACTGGGGGGATGTATGCCTTGAGGGGCGCAGGTGGTGGGAGTGGCAGGAAGGGCTGCCCTGGAGCGAATCCTGGTTCTGCTGAGCCTGAGCGGGGAGAGTCCTGTGTGCCCCACCCCAGCCCTGCGTCCCCGCTAAGAGAAGTTTCTTTTCTGAGCACATTCCTGGGCCGGGCCTCGAGCCAAGAGAGAGCTTCGGCTCAGGCTCCGAGGCCTCGGGAAGCGCGTGCCTTTAGCGTTTCTGGGTTTAGCGCCCACCCTGCAACCCCAGTTGTTGGGGTGAGGAGTCGAGTGTAGCATCAAGGGTGGGGAACGGGCTACCCCTGGCTCAGCAGATACTCTGGGTGCTTTTCAGGCCCCTCCCCCCCTTTTTAAAAATATATTTTATTGATTTTTTACAGAGAGGAAGGGAGAGAGATAGAGAGTCAGAAACATCGATGAGAGAGAGACATCGATCAGCTGCCTCCTGCACACCTCCTACTGGGGATGTGCCCGCAACCCAGGTACATGCCCTTGACCGGAATGGAACCTGGGACCCTTCAGTCCGCAGGCCGTCGCTCTATCCACTGAGCCAAACCGGTTTCGGCAGGCCCCTCCCCTTTTAGAGGAGCCCAGTGGGGAGGGCGGCCGGAGGGCTATTTCCAACCCACGACTCGCCACTCCCCCTCCCCCTCCTGCAGCTGCCTGTGTCTGTCCTGGGACCAACCGGGCCCCTGTCCCTGTGGTCTCGGAGACCCACCCTTTGCCTTTCAGTTTTGGGTCTTCCTCCTAATAACTGGGCACCGGGAGAGGAGGGGTGGTTGCCCACAATTCAGTTTGTTGGAATTCCAGCCTCCCACCGGGAGCTAAGCCCAGCTTTCTGGGCCGTACTGGCCCCCTGTTGTCCCCCGCCTCCCCGGCTCTCAACTCCAGCTCCTATTGGCCAAAAGTTTCCGCCCCCTCGGGGAAACTGACTTCCCATTGGCCGGCTCCTGATCACATGACTCCCCTCCCTTCTGGGTCTGGGAACCAGGGGAGGCCGCACCAAGTTCAGCTGAAGGCTGAAGTGAAAGCCGGATCAGGTAATGCCCTGCGGGGAGCGGGCCCGCAGGTCTGCGTCCGACGGAGGGTGGCGCAGAGGAAGGCGGAACGCAAAGGGTGGGCCCCGCCGGGGATCTGCAGAGCTGTTGGTCACTGCTGGACGGGGAGAAGGAAGACCATGGGACCAAAACAGGAACTTGCTCTGGGTCCCCCAGCAAATACTGGTGGCCCTGGGTCCTTTGCTAGAGGTTTGGGGGAACCACTCTTGGGGAGTTGAAATGCGCTAGACCAGGCTTCCCAGCTTTGTACAGAGCGGGAGAGCTCCCCCTTTAGCTGTCTGTTAGCAATAGCAGAGGTCTCTGTCAGTCCTTACGGGACGATTTTGTTGACTCCTGCCTGAATGAAAAGGGAGGGGTGGGGGGATGGTAAGAAAGAGATCTGAAAACATCGAGGGGAAGGGTGGAGTTAGACCGCAGAAGGAACCTCCTAATAAGGCAGTGAGATGCTGGCTTGGAGAACAGGGGCATCTTTTGGAATCTTGGGTGAACCCAGCCAAGAGAGATGCCAGGGCTTAGAGCCCTGAGTGCAGGGGTCCCAGAAAGGTCTCCTGTTGGAGTCTCAGAAGTGTTTGTCTTGTTGACCCAAATACCAGTTGCTGGTTTCCATGAGACGGTGGGTCTGACATCACCCGCGTTGCCATGGTGCTCGGTTCTGGAGGACCTGAGCAGGCGGGACACAGCCAGGGATAAACAGGGACTTCAGCCCAAGCTGCTGCCACTTCCTTCCTGCCACCACCTGTTCGCAGGCACACACAGCAGCTGGGGATGGGGCGTGATGACAGAACAGCGGAGGAGGGGCCTGAGAGCCGGAGGCTGCACAGCAGTGGCTCGCGGGCGCCGGTAGAAGCTGGTCAGGAGTGTCCTTTGGACTTGGTATCATGGCAGCCGTCCTCCTGTCTCCTGGTGGGATGGTTTGTGTGCCTGGAGGCCTAGGCATTGGGGGAGACATCTGTCCTGGGCTTGGATCTGGGAGGGCCACGAGAGGTTGTTAGGGCGCTGCGCACCTTACACCTGCTCAGATGGCAGGGCAGCGGGTGGCTTTCCGAGGAGGACTGCCATCCATCGCCCCCAGCCTCCCTTTCCTCCCCAGGGTTTCCTCACAGAGTCCTTTTCCACTTGCCACTCTTCTAGCCCCTCAGTAAGGAGTTATTTATCCTCCTCTGAAGGGTCACAGGTCAAGACTGGGGAGGGGTCAGCCCTTCTCTTCCTTCACCTTTATGCCAAGTTCCAGTTGCAGCTGGCCAGCCTGCGGGGACAGTCTGGGCTTTGGATGGAGGTTTAGGTCCCTCTCTCTTTACCCGGTTTTGTTTTAAGCTTTGGAAACTGGGGGGACTTCCTACTCCCACCCTAAGTCAGAGAGATCAGCAGGGGTAGGAGCCCTGATTTTTGCAAACTGTGAAGTCTTTATACATGAGAGTGGCCATGAAGCCTTTTTCCCAGTCACCTTCAAGTTCCCTAAGATGAAACTGGGGGTTACTAATAAGGGAACAGAATTTAGAATGGAGAGTGAGGATGACAGAAGATTTACTAAAGGTACATTCAGATGGAACTAAGCTATGCCAGTTAGTCTCAGCGCTGCCTGTAGGTGAGACTCTTCCGGGAGATTTTAGAAAAGGTCCATGTTGTCCTGGCCGGTGTGGCTCAGGTGGTTGAGTATCACTCCATGCACTGACAGGTCGCTAGTTCGATTCCCAGTCAGGGTACATGCTGGGGTTGCCAGCTTGATCCCGCAGTGGGTGTGCAGGAGGCAGCCGATGGATGCTTCTCATTGTTTCTCTCTCTCTCTTCCATCAATAAAAACATATATATATATATATATATTTTTTTTTTTAAATGCCTGAACCTGACTGTTATCAATTGAATCAGATCAGAATCTCAGGTGATTCCAGTGTGCAGCCAGTGTTGTTTTAATTTATTAATGTAAGAGAGAGGGAGAGAAACTCAGTTTGTTGTTCCATTTATTTATATGTTCATTGCTTGCTTCTTGTATGTGCCCTGACTGGGGATGGAACCCACAACCTTGGTGTATCAGGATGATGCTCTAACCAACTGAACTACCCGGCCAGGTGTTCCCAACACTGGCCTATGGTGGGTGGGTGAGTGGGAAACTTAGGGCTGAATGAGGCTCTAGAGCAGTGGTTCTCAACCTGTGGGTCGAGACCCCTTTGGGGGTCGAACGACCCTTTCACAGGGGTCGCCTAAGACCATCGGAAAACACATATATAATTACATACTGTTTTTGTGATGAATCACTATGCTTTAATTATGTTCAACTTGTCACAATGAAAATACATCCTGCATATCAGATATTTACATGACAATTCATAACAGTAGCAACATTAGTTATGAAGTAGCAACAAAAATAATTTATGGTTGGGGGTCACCACAACGTGAGGAACTGTATGAAAGGGTCACGGCATGAGGAAGGTTGAGAACCACTGCTCTAGAGCTTTCTCTTTCTAGCCCTGGGAGAAAAGGTAATGATTGTGGGAGAGTCTGGCCTGTTTTCCTCACTCGTCTTAGCCATTTGTCTTTGCAAATCAGATCAGTCACTCTTTGGCCTTCATCTGCCCTGACCGCAGCATGAGCGAGTTGGCTGGGTTATTCCCCAAAGCCTTTCCAGGCCTCTGCTTCATTGACCTTTCAAGGTCAGTTCAGTTTCCCAAGACCCTGTTGGAGCCTGGGAGAGGCAGGCTTCTCCGTGGCCGTCCACAGGTTCTGATTTGCAAGGTAAATCCTGTCCAGAAGAGCTGGGACCAGGCTGGTTCTGGAAGCTGCTGCCCAGTCGTTAAACCCTGGAGCCCAGCCAAGGCTGCTCCCTCCATCCCGCCCCCCCTGAGGGAGGGAGGGGGTTGCTGAAGCTCTTCTCTGCAGGTGACCGCCTCAAGGCCCTCAGCGACTATGGCCTCCTGCCCAGATTCGGACAATAGCTGGGTGCTTGCCGGCTCAGAGGTAGGAAAAGCAGGCCTGGGAAGCACACCGGGGGTGGGGGTGAGGGTGGGGGTGGGGGAGGTCCTGCAGGATCAGGCTGCTTCTGGGTCTGTTCCTTCCTTGTCCCGATGGTCACCTGCATCACCTCCTGCGGCCTGCGAGAGGACCTGGTGGCCGGATAGGAAACCGGGCCCAGGAGTCAGGTGTCGGGACTTGGGCCATGCCCGGAAAGCGGGGTGGCGCCGTGATGAGCTGAGAGAAGGCAGGAAGAGTGCTGGGGGGAGACCAGCATGAGCAGAGGGTCTGAGCCATTCTGGGGAGACTCTGAGGAGGCCCAGTGGATAAGGTTGCGACCTAGGTCAGTGTTGGAGGGAGGTTAGGAGCAGAGCTGGGGAGAGAACCTGTGAAGAGAGCCAGGCCCGGGCGCTCAGGCCTCAGGGGAAATCACTGAAGGGCTCTGAGTCTGCAGAAGTCGGGACGCGCTGCCTGGGCAGAGGCTGAAGCCGCTGCGTGGCTGCGTAGCGATAGCGGGCGAGTGTTTTAAAGATCCTGTGATGCAGGTAGGTGGTGGGGCAGGGCCCCAGGGGACTCCTGTGCTCCTCAAGCCACTGAGAAGGATGAAGGGCCAGCCGGACGGAGGACGGAGTGGCTGGAGAAAGTTTGTAAAGGGATCCGAACGCCAGTGGCTTGTTGTGTTAGAAGTGCCAGGAGGAGAGAAGGCAAGGGGTCCCTGGAGGGGTCAGCTGGGGGTGAGGATCCGAGCTCGGATGGCGCCGGAGCAGGACACATGGCCAAGCCCGCCAGTAAGGAGGGCGGACACTCTGCTCTCATTCAGCCAGACTCCTGGGTGCCTTGGCTGACAGCTGTGCATTTCACCGGCTGTCCTCCCCTGTAAGGGGGCTTGTGGTTCTGGCCTTGCAGAGGTGGCCATGAGAAAAAGTGATTTGAAAATTGCAAAGAAACATACCACGGCCAGGCACTGTGGCGGGAGGGAGGGCGGGAGCCATGGATGGGGTACGCGGGCGATGGGCCCGCTGAGAAGGAGTGTGCAGAGCGAAGAGGCTGACAGCTCCGTGGAGGACAGGCAGGCTGGGGTGGGGGGTGGGGTGGATGGGCTTCTGCCAGCAGCTGCTGGGAGAGGGGTGTGTGGGCGAGGCGCTAAGGCCAGAAAAGCTTAGAAGATGTGAGTGGGCGGCCTGTTGTGTGGGCCGCTGCAGGGAAGTGTGGGGGGCATGGCGGTGACCCTTAGGACTTTGTTCTCTCACTGCCCTCCTCCCACCTGCCAACCAAGAGCTGGTCCTTGGTGGGGAGGGAGGGAAGTGCTGGTGGCCCGGGCTCTCTCTAGCCAGCTTCTGGGTGGGGGCAGTTTGTATAGTGTCCAGTGCTTGGGTCCAGTGGTGCTTCTTCGTGTGACAGACACTGAGCCTCTGGAAGTTCTCAGGGCACAAGTGAGGTTCAGGAAGGGCCCCACACGACGTCGAGCTGTGATGCTGCAGTGCCAGCTGACCCCTCCCCGCCCTCCCCTCGGACCAGCTCGTTACTCCACGTCTTCTATTCCTGTGCCGTGGGCTGGGGCCCCGGCGAAGGCCCCACGCTCCGGGGTTTGTCCTGTCGTCCCTCCTCTGCAGCACCTCCTGCTTTCGCTCCTTCCTCCAGAGCCTGCCCGTGGAGACCCTGGGCCCAGGGTCCAAGGTGGACCCAGAACCTCAGAGAGCTCCCCCGGCCCCTTGGACCCCCTCCCAGGAAGATGGTGAAGAATTAGCTGGGACCTTGGATGGAGAAGGTAAAGGGCCTTGCTGAGGGTGGTTAGTCTTATTCCCCACGTTAACCTCAGTGTGGGATACTCTTTCTTCACTCCATCCTGGCTCTGTCCTGCCTCTCCCAGCCTGGCTGGGCCTGCAGGGGCCACGGGGCTGCAGAGGAGGTTGCGTTGAGAGGCTGTGGTGTTTTTTCTGGGCCTTTTCCTTCCACTACAGAGACCCTCGCCCAGAGTGAAAGCGCCCATTCCGGTCCCATGCCCCCAGAGGACACAGAGGCCCAGGTGAGGACCTTCCCTGGGGGAGGGAAGGCAGTGGGAAGGGCCAGGAGATGCTCACGCTGTGTCCCCATCAGGGCGTCCTGGAAGGTGATGGCCATGACACGGAGCTCCCTGGCTCCGGAGACACAGTGATCCGGGAAGACGTGGAGGAGCCCCCCATGGTGGCAGACCTGGGGCCGGACACACGGGACCTGGAGGATCAGAGCTTCCAGCAGAGCCTGCCCTCCTCCCCCAGTGCAGGTGCGGGGCCTCCTGTCTCCCGTTGGCGCTGTCCTTCGAGGAGGGGTGGTTGTGGGAGTAGCCATCACTTCTGAGCATCGCTCTGGTCCAGGCCGTGGGACGCAGTAGCTTGGCGCCTCCTTAACTTGTATCAGTGAGTGCTCAGCCCCACCCCTGAGGCTCAGAGAGGTTAAGTGACCTGGCCGAGGTCACACAGCCGATAAGTGGCAGGGCTGAGATCTGGTGCCTCTTTCCGCTCTGCCCTTGGGCCTCCTCTTTTCTTGCCTCTGGATTCAACTCATCCCCTGAGTCCCTTCCGTGCGTCAGCTCTTCGCTTGGTGGGTGGCTCATGGCCTGTGTAAGAGGCAGACTAGACTGAGCCCAGATGGAAGTCAGACCGATGAGGGGTGCAGAAGGAGCTATTATTAAGTTGCTGTCACAGGAGGAGGAAGGTGGTTCAGTCGAGACAGGCTGAGGGGAAGGAGAAGCAGGTATCGTTGGGGAGAGGGTGCCATAGGCAGTGCCATCTGAGTGCAGCCTGGAACAAAAAGTAGGCTTGTTGGTAGGTGGGGGAGGAGGAAGAGAACATTCCAGGCCCAGGCTGTAGCCTCAGCAGAGGGCGGGGGCCACCGTCCTGTACTGAGGAGGCTGCGTCAAGGTGTGCGGCAGCGGAGCGTGAGTCCATCGCTATTGAAGGTGACAGGGTGGAGGTAGAGGCCAGGGCCTCGGCCATTTAGGAGGTTCCTGAACCGAGGCAGATGCAGGCATGCGATGTGAAGATGTTTACGTGTCGACCTGTCTGGGTGGGGGGTGAAGGTGGGCAGGCAGACGTCCGTACCTGGAGCTCCAGGGAGGCCTGGGCGGGCGCTACAGATTCATCTGCTCTGGGGGGCCGTCAGCGCGTGGGGGAGACCCTGGGTGACTGTGTGCACAGCGAGGAGAGCCGAGAGCGGAGAGGGTGTCAGGAGACCACACCTTTAGGACCGGAAAGAGCCGGGGGCCTGAGCAGACGTGGGCAGTTAGGACTGGCCCGGGAGGGTGGGAGTAGCTGTGGGTTGAACGGAGGTGCATGAGGGAGGACAGTGCTTTCAGGATGAAGCTGCCCGTGTCGTTGGCAGACTGAAGGACCGGTCTCCCACCTCCTGGCTGGGCAGGGGCTGCCATCGATGCCAGGCAGACTGGGGCAGGGTCTCCACATGCCCTGCTGTGTGCCAGGGCTCATGGCCCCCCGTGCCTCCCTTCCCGTCCCCGCTCCCTGTGTCCCCGTCCCTTCTTCCAGCGTGGAC